CGGCTCACCGCAACCTCCGCCTCCTGGATTCAGGCAATTCTCCTGCCTTAGCCTCCTTAGTAGCTGAAATTACAGGCACACGCCACCATGCCCAGCTAATTTTTTGTATTTTTAGTAGAGACGGGGTTTCACCATGTTGACCAGGATGGTCTCGATCTGTTGACCTCGTGATCCACCCGCCTCGGCCTCCCAAAGTGCTGGGATTACAGGCTTGAGCCACCGCGCCCGGCCAATCGTTAGTGTTTTTAACCAAATTTTTTAATTTTTATTTTTGAGCTTTTATTTTAGATTTAGAGGGGGTACACCGAGCTTTTCTGGACTCCCTCAGTGATTGGTCAATTTCTTTTTAAATTTTATTATTATTCTTTTTTCTTTTCTTTTTCTTTTTTAGAGACAGGGTCTTATTGTGTCGCTCAGGCTGGAGTGCAGTGGCATAATCATAGCTGACTGTAGCCCCAAACTCCTGGGCTCAAGAGATCACCCTGCCAAAGCCGCCTGAGTAGCTGGGACCATAGGCACAAGTCAGTGTTCCCGGCCCATATGATTACTTACTTTTTGAGACAGAGTCTCGCTCTGTCACCCAGGCTGGAGTGCAGTGGTGCAATCTCTGCTCACTGCAACCTCCACCTCTTGAGTTCAAGCTATTCTCCTGCCTCAGCCTCCTGAATAGCTTGGATTGCAGGTGTGTGCCAACATGCCCAGCTAATTTTTATATTTTTAGTAGAGACGGGGTTCGACAATGTTGGCCAGGCTGGTCTGGAACTCCTGACCTCAGATGATCCACCCTCCTTGGCTTCCTCAAGTGCTGGGATTTCAGGCGTGGCCACCGCGCCTGGCCCATTATTATTGCTTTTAGTGTCTGCTAGCTTCAGGGTTGCACAGAGATTTAAAGGGCACATTCTTTCAGGGACTGGGCATAGCATGAGCACTGGGAATGAAGGGGATACATTCCACAGGCGAGGCAGTGCCCAGGAGGGTGGAATCTGGGTGTGGCTGTAACCACTCCCCACCCATCCTAGCTTTTTCTTGTCCTTTGAAGAGACAGAGTGACAGCAAGAAACAAAAAAGGGACTTGGGCTTGGGGTTGGAGGGTCTGGTGTTAGGTCTGGAGTCAGCCTCTTAAAGGCTCTGTGGGTTGGCGCTGTCCCCACCTTTCTCCTGCATCTGTGCAATGAGGGAGGTGAGGCTGGACGAGCGCTGAGGTCCTTGCAGCCTTAATACTCATTGTGATATGTTATGGACTGCTGGCTATGTTCCTGGTGCTGTTCTGAGAACCATAGGAATTCCTCTCCTGTGCACAGCTAAACTCTGAGCTCATAGTATCTTTATATGAAAGATGAGGAAACTGAGGCACAGAAAGATTGAGTCCTTGCCCCCCGCCTCGTGGCTCAGAGGTGGAGGAGTCAGAATTGGAACTAGAGACTGAATGAATGACACTCGGGTCACCAGGGCACCCTTCCAATCTCCACTCCTACAGCTCTTTCTTAGCAACCATCTCCCCACCCCTACCTCCTCTTGTCAGGCTCTTCTTGGTGACATCTGTTCACATCTCACCCCTTCTGTCCTTCCCCCACGGCCCTACCTCCATATTCCCCTTGTTACTTATCTCCAAGTTCTTCCTTAGCCTTCCAGCCTGATTCACCCTTTTCTCTTCTGGCCAGCGGATCGCGGGCTCCCAGCTCTCCCCTAGGCTGCAGTATTTTGGGCAGGCGCTGAGCGGCGGTCAGGACCTCACCCAGGATGGACTGGTGGACCTGGCGGTGGGGGCCCGGGGCCAGGTGCTCCTGCTCAGGTGAGAGCAGCCTTCCTTGGACGCTCCCCGGGTGGTTCTAGGTTCAGACCGGGGCGCCCACCCTTCACCCCACCCCCTGTTGTGCTCCCAGGAGCTGAGGGGCTGTGCTCAGGTCGGTGCTCTGTCCGCAGGACCAGACCTGTGCTCTGGGTGAGGGCAAGCATGCAGTTCATACCTGCCGAGATCCCCCGGTCTGCGTTTGAGTGTCGGGAGCAGGAGGTCTCTGACCAGCCCCTGGGACACGCCAGCATCTGCCTTTACATTGACAACATTTCCAAGAACCTGCTCGGGAGCCGTGAGTCCTCTCCCTCCAACCCAGGATGCCCTGACCTCTGGAGTCCCCCAGCCCTGGAAGCCTGTCTCCCATCCTGCACGTTGTCCACCCCAGGGGTTTTTGTCTCTCTCAACACCATCCCTGCGACCACCTACAGGTGACCTCCAAAGCTCTGTGACCTTGGACCTGGCCCTCGACCCTGGCCGCCTGAGTCCCCGCGCCACCTTCCAAGAAACAAAGAGCCGGAGTCTGAGCCGAGTCCAAGTCCTCGGGCTGAAGACACACTGTGAAAACTTCGATCTGCTGCTCCCGGTGCGACTGGGCACAGGCGTGGGTGGCGGCCACACTGGGGCTGACAGAGGGCAGGGCAGGAGAGAACAGGCTGCGTTCCAGCCTCCCTGTGGCTCAGCCCAGCACGGGACCAGCGTGCAGGAGGTGCTTACTGCACGTTAGCCAGTGAGGGAGCCAACGAGTGATGAGATCTGCTGCAGCGGCCAGGGGCCACACGGTTGGATTTCAGGAAAGAGAATTGGGCAGCCTGAGAACGAGGTCTGGGGCTTCCGGCTGGGGTTTTTTTTTTTTTCAGGCATTCACTGGACACGCATTTATCAAGTTGCTCCTCAAAGACAGGCTGTGCCCTGAGGATCAGGGACAGAGCAGTGGCCAAAACAGTCATTGCTGATTGGGAGGTCTGTGGGGAGGAGAAAAAAACAGACAAACCAGGGGAGAGAACTGAGAGGGCATCAGGGAGGCCTCCTGGAGGTGGTGACGCTGAGCAGGCCCTGAAGGAAGGGGAAGCCAGGTGGGAGCTGGAAAAGAACTGCAGGTGGGGGTGGTGGTGGTGGTGAGCACAGCTCTGCACAGTGTTCCCTTTACCCTCCTCCCTCCCCCATGCCCATCCCCCAGGCCTGCGTGGAGGACTCCGTGACTCCCATCACCTTGCGTCTGAACTTCACGCTGGTGGGTGAGCCCCTCCCTTACTTCAGAAACCTGCAGCCTATGCTGGCCGTAGATGCTCAGAGATACTTCACAGCCTCCGTGAGTCCTGGCGCTGGGGTCTCCCAAAGAGGGCGCACAGTGTGGGGTCTGGGTCTCAGAGAAAACCCTCCATTGCCTTCCCACGCAGCTCCCCTTTGAGAAGAACTGTGGAGCCGACCATATCTGCCAGGATGATCTCGGCATCTCCTTCAGCTTCCCAGGGTGAGTGCCCCCGCCTCACCCCGCCTTAGACGTGCCCTGGCACCCCAGCCTCCTTCCTGGAACCTGGGACTCCTGTCCCTGGCTCTCCCTAACATTGTCTCATCCTATACTCAAAACAGGTGTCCTGGCTGGGCACGGTGGCTCGTGCCTGTAATCCCAGCACTTTGGGAGGCTGAGGCGGGAGGATCTTTTGAGGCCAGGAGTTAGGGATCAGCCTGGGTGACAAAGTGAGATCCCATTTCTACAAAAACAAAACAACAACAGAAAAGTCAGCTGGGTGTGGTGGAGCGTGCCTATAGTCCCAGCTACTTGGGAGGCTGAAGCTTGAGTATTGCTTGAGCTCTAGAGTTGGAGGTTGCAGTGAGCCATGATCACACCACTGCACTCCAGCCTGGGTGACAGAGCAAGACTCTGTCTCTTAAAAAAAAAAAAAGAAGAAGAAGAAGAAGAAGAGCCCAGGTGTCCTGTCCCTTGTCTATCTCCCATGTCCCCACCCAACCCATTTTATTCCCAGATTATTTCTAGCCTCAGTCACAGAATCATCTTCTTCCCCTCCCCGATACCCAGCTTGAAGACCCTGCTGGTGGGGAGTAACCTGGAACTAAATGCAGAAGTGATGGTGTGGAACGACGGGGAAGACTCCTACGGAACCACCATCACCTTCTCTCACCCGGCGGGACTGTCCTACCGCCACGTGGCACAGGGCCAGGTGCTCCCTCTGGGGAAGGAGGAGGTGGCTGGGCTGGGTGTCAGCATATATTCCTGTGCAGTTCAGGAGGGGGCCTGGAGGTGGTTGTGCCAGCTGGGGCTTGCCTCTGCTCTTGTGGTGTTCAACTTCGGGCATCGCAGTTTGAGGACACTAACAGGAATGATTTCCTGAGAGGCTACGAATGCGGAGACAGAGGGAATCCTGCCCAAATTTCTTTCTACTCCATATCATGTCAATATTCCTCTTTTAAAGGAAAACGTATCTCATCCTTCAACTACTTAAAAATGCTGTTCTGTAGAAGCAAGGGCTTGAATTTACTGGTCATTCTGCATTAAGGCATGGCAACCTTAATGCTAACCTCTGGTGTTGCGGAGTGAAAGCAGCCGTTGACATGAATGAGATTATAAATGAATATACCTGAGATACAATAAAACTTTATGTATAAATATAGGTAGTGGCTGTCGTTTGCCAATCCCTGCGCTAGAATATAGAACCAGGACCACAGGGAGTCAAAGAGAACCAGACTTTTTTAAACAAAAATGTTATTATGGCCAGGTGCAGTGGCTCACGTCTGTAATCCCAGGACTTTGGGAGGCCAAGGCAGGTGGATCACCTGAGATCAGGAGTTCGAGACCAGCCTGGCCAACATGTTGAAACCCCATCTCTACTAAAAATACAAAAATTAGCTGGTGTGGTGGTGTGCGCCTGTCATCCCAGCTCTTCGGGAAGCTGAGGTGGGACAATCACTTGAACCCAGGAGGCAGAGTTTGCAGTAAGGCAAGATTGTGCCACTGCACTCCAGCCTGGTGACAGAGCAAGACTCTGTCTCAAAAAAAAGTTATTATGAAAAATTTAAAACATTTACAACAAACCTCCCCAAAACTTATCACCCAGATTCAACAATTAGCAACATTTTGCCACATTTGTTTCAGTTTTTCTCCTTTGCTAACATATTTTATTTATTTATTTATTTATTTTTGAGACAGGGTCTCGCTCTGTCACATAGGCTGGAGTGCAATGGTACAATCACGGCTCACTGCAGCCTCGACCTCCTGGGCTCAAGCAATCCTCCCATCTCAGCCTCCTGAGTAGCTAGAACTATAGGCACAAACTACCATACCTGGCTTTTTTTTTTTTTTTTTTTTTTTTTGAACAAGGGTTCCCCCCGTTGCCCAGGCTGGAGTGCAATGGCACAATCTCAGCTCACCACAACCTCCGGCTCCCTGGTTCAAGCGATTCTCCTGCCTCAGCCTCCTGAGTAGCTGGGATTACAGGCATGCGCCACCATGCCCAGCTAGCTAATCTTTTTGTAGAGTGGGGGTCTTACTGTGCTGCCCAAGTTGGTCTCTAATTCCTGGGTTCAAGCAATCCTCCCATCTCAGCCTCCCAAAGAGTTGGAGTTACAGACACGAGTTACAGACTGTGCCAGACATGCTGAATTATTTTAAAGCTAATCTCAGGCATGGGGGTCATTGTACTCCTCCTTATTCACTCTGCTATGACGTGAATGCATCAACAAAAGTTCACGCGTTGAACACTTAATTCCCAATGCAACAGTGTTGAAAGATGGGCCTTTAAGGGGTGATTAGGTTATGAGGGCAAAGCCCTCATGAATGGATGAATACTATTATTTTGAGAGTAGATTAGTTATTTCAGGAGTAGGGTGGTTTTTTTTGTTTTGTTTTGTTTTTTTGGTTTTGTTTTTTGAGACGAGGTCTCGCTCTGTTACCCAGGCTGTAGTGCAGTGGTATGGTCTTGGCTCACTGCAGTCTCTGCCTCCCAGGTTCAAGAAATTCTTGTGTCTCAGCCTCCCAAGTAGCTGGGATTACAGGCACCCACCACCACATCAAGCTAAGTTTTGTATTTTTAGTAGAGACAGGGTTTTACCATGTTGGTCAGGCGGGTCTTGAACTCCTAACCTCAAGTGATCCACCCGCCTCAGCCTCCCAAAGTGCTGAGATTACAGGCACCGTGCCCAGCCCAGGAGTGGGTTCCTAATTAAAGGATGAGTTTGGTCCCCTTTCCCTCTCACTCTCACATGTGATCTCTTGCCCTTCTGTCTTCTGCTGTTAGATGACGTAGGACAAAGGCCCTCACCAGATACTGGTGCCATGCTCTTGGACTTCCCAGTGCCCAGAAACATGAAGCTTCTATTGATAAATTACCTGGTTTGTGGTAATCTGTTATAGCAGCAGGGAACAGACAAAGACACACTCTATAGTTCTAACCAATGAGGACATCTTATATGACCTCAACACCATTATCACACCCAATGAAATAAGTGGTTCCTTGGTATTAAGATAATAGTCAAAATTCTGTAATTGTCTCAAAAATATCTTTTTACCTCTGGTCTATTTGAACCAAAATTCAAGCTAAGTCCACACATAATGTTTGGTTGTTAATCTGCTCTGTTTCTCTTAGTCTCGTATTCCCTACACAGGCACACTTTGGTATCAAAGAACACACCAGGAAAGGCCATCTCTGCCTGTGAGGGGTGATCATTGTCATTGAAAGTGACCCTAGACCTATCAACCAAATGTAATGTGTTGAATATTGATTTTAATACATGAGTTGTAAAGTAACATTTTTGGAGGCAATCTAAGAAAATAGAGCATAACTGGTAAATTGGTATATAAAGGAGTAATTGTTAATTTTGTTGACTGTGATTTGTTGGGTCTTGTGGTTACATTTAAAATACCCTTATCTGTTGGTGGTGTATACTATTTCTAGATGAAACAATATTGCTGGAAACAGATACTCAGTGCCACAAAGAAAAATCAGCACTGAGACAAAGGATCTTTCAGCAACGCAATTTTTACTTCCTGGACTGCAGGAAGGGTACTCTCACTAGCCATCTTGCCACCAGAGTACAATGAACGAAGGAAAAGCAGTCATATTTATCCCTATGCATTTGGGGTCGTCCTTACTGCTGTGTCTGATCTCCGTTGGCTGGAGCCAGACCTCACAATTTAAACTAAAACCTGATTGGCTAACAACTTAAAACTTTTTTAGACAGGTAATGGGCATAGGCTGCCAGCTGGGACCTGCCTGTGAGCACATCCAGCACAGATATCTTGTTAAAGTACAAGGATATAGAATGTATTACGTGCCTGTAAGCATGGCATGTCTGAACAGCTACATAGGATAAGGGCTTAACAAAGAGTTATTAGCAAATTTATTCTTTAACAAGAAAGAAAACTTTAAAGAGGAACTTTTCTACTTCCCACAAATATGATGTTTGGGACATGCTTTAAAGTATTCAGAAAGAGAACAGAGTAGAAACAAGAGTAGAAAAATGTTGGTTACTTAAAATGAGTGATGGCTATATGGGGGTTGATTTTCTAGTCTCTCTGCTTTTGAATGTGTTTCAAAATTTCCATAATAAGAGGCCTTTAAAATAACAATAAAAAAGTGAACATTTTAATAAATTTGAGATTTCTACTTTTGAAGAAAGTTTGACCAGATAGCTATGGGGGAGATTTTAAAAACATAACCTTGCCTGGGCATGATGGCTTAAACCTGTTATCCTAGTGTTTGAGGGGCCCAAGATGGGAGGACTGCTTGAGGCCAGGAGTTCAAGACCAGCCTGGGCAACATAGTGAGATCCCATCTCAAAAAAATTTTTTTTTTTTTTAATTAGCCAGGCATGGTGGTGTGTGCCTATAGTCCCAGCTACTCGGGAGGCTGAGGTGAGGGGTTGGCTTGAGCCCAGGAGTTTGAGGCTGCAGTGAGCTGTGACTGCCTCACTACTCTTTAGCCTGGGTGACAGAGTGAGACCTGGTCTCAAAAAACAAACAAAAACATACCTTAAGGTGGGCCCCAGAAAGCTTCATCACTGCTTTACGGAGTATCTTTGGAATACTGTTATAGTAGTTTGATGCAAAAGTAATTGTGGTTTTTGCCGTTGCTTTCAATTTCAACTAATACTCCTCTACTTTTTCTTGTGCCTAGAAACAGGGACAGCTGCGCTCCCTGCGCCTGACATGTGACAGCGCCCCAGCTGGGAGCCAGGGCACCTGGAGCACCAGCTGCAGAATCAACCACCTCATCTTCCGTGAGGGTGCCCAGGTCAGCCCGGCTTCTGTTCCCTCGCCGCTCCCCTCCCCGCCCTGTCTTGACTGCTCTGTGACCTCCTCAGTGCCTTTCCTCAGATCACCTTCTTGGTTACCTTCGACATCTCCCCCAAGGCTGTCCTGGGAGACCGGCTGCTTCTGGTAGCCAATGTGAGCAGGTGAGCCGGGCCAGGCCAGGGGCAGTGCCATCTCCATCCCCACTCCACATCCTCCTCCTCTGGGGCCTTTGGCAACTGGGTCTCTCCTCTTTCTCCAGTGAGAACAACACCCCCAGGACCAGCAAGACCACCTTCCAGCTGGAGCTCCCTGTGAAGTACGCCGTGTACACCGTGGCCAGCAGGTCAGCAGGCGCCCCGCCACAGGCAAAGGGGCTCTTGTCTCTCACCCTGATGGGGGTAGACCTTGTCCCCTGCAGCAGCCGAACACCTCAGACGTGTTAGGTTTTGGGTGTTAGATAATATTGCCGGCAGCACTTACCAGTCAACACGTTTGTTTTGTTTTTTTTTTTTATTTCCTTTTATCCTTGATAAAAATTACCGAGGCACGGTGGCATGTGCTTGTAGTTCCAGCTATTTGGGAGGCTGAGGCAGGAGGATCACTTGAGCCTGGGAAGTTGAGGATACAGTGAGCTGCGATTTGACCACCGCATTCCAGTCTGAGCAACAAAGCAAGATCTTATTTCCAAAAAAAAAAAAAAAAAATTGACCCTAGAGTGATGTTTCTTAAAACATGTTCTACAAACCGCTGGTGGTCAATGCTCTTCTAAGTGGTAGGCTTTAGAGAAAAAGAGCAAGAAACTCACACATCTCAAACATTTGAAACTGGTGATTTGCACAGAAATAGTGTTGCATCTTTAATAATTGTGTGGCATGTGGACTCCAGGGATGACAATGGGCTCTTGTCTAAATTCAGGCACAAGTTGTTGTTTTCTATTTCATTTTATTATTATTATTTTTTTGAGGCAGAGTCTCAGTCTGTTGCCCAAGCTGGAGTGCAGTGGTGTAATCTTGGCTCATTGCAGCCTCCACTTCCCAGGTTCAAGTTCAAGCGATTCTCTTGCCTCAGCCTCTGGAGTAGCTGGGCTTACAGGCACACACCATCACGGCCAGCTAATTTTTGTAATTTTAGTAGAGACAGTGTTTTACCATGTTGGCAGGCTGGTCTCCAACTCCTGACCTCAGGTGATCTGCCCATCTTGGCCTCCCAGAGTTCTGGGATTACAGGCGTGAGCCACCACACCCGGGCTATTTTTTAAATTTTTATTTCAACTTTGATGTTAGATCAGGGGGTACCTGTACAGATTTGTTACATGGGAATATTGCATGATGCGGAGGTTTTGACTATGAATCCCACCACCCTGGTAGTGAACGCAGGACCCGATAGGCAGTTTCTCAACCCACATCCTCCCTGCATGCTCCAGTGTCCACAGTGCCTGTTCTTCCCATCTTTATGTCCGTGTGTGCCCAATGCTTAGCTCCCCCGTGTAAGTGAAAACATGGGTGATTTTTTTTCTCTTCCTACCCTAATTTTCTTAGGATTATGGACTCCAGCTCCATCCCTGTTACTGCAAAGGACATGATTTCATTCTTTTCGTGGGTGCATAGTATTCCGTGGTGTATATGAACTGTGTATATGTACATTTTCCTTATCCAGTGTTCCACCGATGGGTATCTAGGTTGATTCCATGTCCTTGCTATTGTGAGTAGCGCAGCTGTGAACATATGAGTGCATGTCTCTTTTCAGTAGAATGATTTATTTTGGGGAAAGAGAGGGATATATCCAGTAATGAGATTGCTCGATCAAATGGTAGCTCTGTGTTTAAGTTTGTTGAGAAATGTCCAGACTACTTTCCACAGTAGCTGAACTAATTTACTTCCCCACCAGCAGTGTAGAAGGGTTCCTTTTTCTCTGCGGCCTCACCAGCATCTGTTGTTTTGACGTTTTAATAATATTCACCCTGACTGGTGTGAGATGGCTTCCCATTGAGGTTTTGATTTGCATTTCTCTGATGGTTAGTGATGCTGAGCATTTTTTCCATACTTTTTTTTGGCCACTTGTAAAATGTTCTTTTTATTTTACCTTTTAGTTAATGTTTTATTACTGAAACATCATATATGTATTCTTTTGAGAAGTATCTGTTAGTGTCCTTTTCCCATGTTCATTTGTTTATTTATTTATTTTTGAGACAGATTCTCGCTCTGTTGCCCAGGCTGGAGTGCATTGGCATGATCTTGGCTCACTGCAACTTCCGTCTCCCAGGTTCAAGCTCAAGTGATTCTCCTGCCTCAGCCTCTGGAGTAGCTGGGATTACAGGCATGCACTACCACGCCCAGCTAAGTTTTGTATTTTTAGTGGAGACAGGGTTTCATCATGTTGGCCAGGCTGATTTCAAACTCCTGACCTCAACTGATCCATCTGCCTTGGCTTCCCAAAGTGCTGGGATTATGGGCATGAGCTACCATGCCCAGCCATCAACAAATGTTTATTGTTGTCTAGTTATGATAATAATAATATTGTTATATCCCAGTTTTAATAGAGGTTAAAAGCCTTTCTCAAAAGCACCAACATTCTCTTGGCTTCCCCAGGAGATATGAGACATATCCCTACCTTTGATATTCTTCTAAGCCTCACTGGGGAGCAAAGTTATCCTGGTCCCAGCCCGAATCCCATCTAGGGCCATGTGGTTCTGTACTGCAGGGGTGCAGGGGATGTGGGTTCCTGAGATGGGGCTAGGGCCCCTTGGAAGGAGAGGCGTCAATTAAACACGGAAGGGTCCACAGCATCGAGGGGCCGTTGGTATCTGGACAGGTCATTTCTTCTTGTCCTGGGAAAACACTTGTACCCTGCAGGGCTTTTAGAAGCCCCTCCTCCTCTTCCCAGTACCCTTAGGGAAGGATAGGGACAGATGACCTGCCTGCCACAGAGGCTGTATGTCAGGGAGAAGCTGGTTAAAAAGACAGGGCTGGCCGGGCACGGTGGCTCACACCTGTAATCCCACCGCTTTGGGAGGCTGAGGTGGGCAGATCATCTGAGGTCAGGAGTTCAAGACCAGCCTGGTCAACATGGCGAAACCCCATCTCTACTAAAAATACAAAAATTAGCTGGGTGTAGTGGCAGGTGCTTGTAATCGCAGCTTCTTGGGTGGCTGAGGCAGCAGAATCACTTAAACTCGGGAGGCAGAGGTTGCAGTGAGCTGAGATTGTGCCATTGCACTCCAGCCTTGGGGACAAGAGCAAAACTCTGTCTCAAAAAACAAAACAAAACAACAACAAAAACACAGGGCCTTGAACTACTGCCAGGGAGGGTGAGATAAGGTGCTTGAAACTGAAAGGTCAAGTTTGAGCAGACACCTCCCTTCAGCCAATGCCTTCCTCAAAGTTGCTGTGTGGCAGGCACAGCAGTGTGGTTATTTCCCATACGTTCAATACACATTCAACGAAGATTTACTGAGCCCCTATTATGTGTGATCAAAATCAGAACATCCAGCCTTGCTGGATGTTCTCCTCTGCCTGGTGTTTTCCACCCTCACCTGCACCTGCGCGTGTGGGGGCTCCCAGCCATGCGCACGCTCTGAGCTTGTGTGCTGGGCTGTGCCCAGGCTCTCACACCTGCTGACAGGGGCCCCACTGGCAGAGCTCACCTCCTCTAGGCATGTGTGGCCCACAGCTCAGTCACACATGGCAGATGTAACCCTGTGGGTTGGGGTACAGGGAGTGCCAGGTTGGGGCATTTTGCGGGGAGGCCAAGGTGAGAGGATCGCTTGAGGCCAGGAGTTCGAGATCAGCCTGGGCAACATAGTGAGACCCCATCTCTACAAAAAATTGGCAGAGAAGGAATGAGGCCCCAGAGTAGGTGTGGTGGGCTGGCATTTGGACTATGCCAGCTAGAGGACAGGTGCCAGAAGAGTGAAGCAGTGAGGCAGAAGTGAGACCAGCCACTGGTGTGATGGTCACAACTGGCCACTGGGTCTCCAGGCTTGTGCCCAAGAAGGGCTCGGGACCTTAAACTGAGACCCTATGAAGAGCCTGCTGTGGGCCCTCCCTTACCTCCAAGCCCCAGGCCCAGAAAAGCCAAGGAAATGGGAGAAAAGGACCCGGGGGGACGCCTGTGGGGGACCAAGAAGGGGCAACGCTCAATAGCATTTGCTCAACAGCCCCTGGCATACTATATCTCCACGAAGGGCTGGAAGGAAAGCGCAGGGTGGGGTGGAGGCAGGCCCTGGCCCCTGCTCTCCTGCTGGTCAGTGGCAGAGCTCTCTCTTCTCCGTTCACTGTACCCACTGCCCAGCCCCACTGCAGGCAGCTACGAGCTCTTTGCACCCATTTTTTTTTTTTTTTTTACGAGTCCATGTCTTGCTCTGTTGCCCAGGCTGGAGTACAGTGGTGTGATCACAGCTCATTGCAGCCTTGAACTCCTCTTGGAATCAAGTGATCCTCCCACGTCAGCCTCCCAAGGAGTTGAGATTCCAGATATGTGCCACCCTGCCTGGCTAATTAACAAATTTTTTTTTGTAGAGATGGAATCTTACTATGTTGCCCAGGCTGATCTTGAACCCTGGACTCAAGTGATCCTCCTACCTCGACCTCCCAAAGTGCTGGGATTATAGGTCTGGGCCACTGCACTCAGCCACTTAGCCCTTGTTTAGAAGCCCAGCCCTGCTTTTCTAAACTCTCTTTTTTTTTTTGAGACCAAGTCTCACTGTGTTGCCCAGGCTGGAGTGCAGTGGGGCAATCTCAGCTCACTGTAACCTCTGCCTCCTGGCTCCAAGCAATTCTTGTGCCTCAGCCTCCTGAGTAGCTGGGATTACAGGCACCCGCCACCACACCCGGCTAATTTTTGTATGTTTAGTAGAGACGGGGTTTCTCCATGTTGACCAGGCTGGTCTCGAACTCCTGACCTCAGGTGATCTGCCCATCTCAGCCTCCAAAGTGTGGGGATTACAGGCGTGAGCCACCGTGCCTGGCCTCTAAACTCTCTTTTAACCTAACTCAGCCACAGCCCCCATTCTAGGACACGCCAAGGCCCCACCTGTCCCCTCATGCCTCAGCCAATGCCTCCTGCAGAGGCCCCGTGGTAGTTCACATCCACCAATGCCTCTCCTCTCTCCAGCCACGAACAATCCACCAAGTACTTCAACTTCTCAGCCTCCGAGGAGAAGGAAAGCCGTGTGGCCACACACAGATACCAGGCAGGTGGTGGAGACACAGGAGCCTGGGCTGGGGCGGGAGGCTGGGGAGGGTTGTGGGCTTTGGCGTGGGCTCTGCCCTCACCGCCCTTTGTACAGGTCAGCAACCTCGGACAGAGGGACCTGCCAGTCAGCATCAACTTCTGGGTGCCTGTGGAGCTGAATCAGGAGGCTGTGTGGACGGAGGTGGAGGTGTCCCATCCCCAGGTACTCAAGGACTGTGTGTGGCTCTGTGAATGCACTTTTTACCTGGATTCGCTGTGCCCCTCATGAGTCCCTGAGGTCCCAGCTGAGACGCCTGTTCTCTGCGTTTTCCCCCAGGACCCATCCCTTCGGTGCTCCTCGGAGAAAATCGCACCCCCAGTGTCTGACTTCCTGGCGCACATTCAGAAGAATCCTGTGCTGGTGAGGAGGGCTCTGGGCCAGCTCTCATTGCAGGCAGCACATCAGAGAAATTTCACCCAGGAGTTCATGTTCCACGTCCATCCTGTTGAACTAGCCTTTTGCATTCAGATTCGGCCGCTGCCCTCAAATCACACTGAGTAATGCTCCCTCCGACCTTCATACTCATCTTTCTCAGCCTGATGCGATTTTTCTGCCCCCAGGACTGCTCCATTGCTGGCTGCCTGCGGTTCCGCTGTGACATCCCCTCCTTCAGTGTCCAGGAGGAGCTGGACTTCACCCTGAAGGGCAACCTCAGCTTTGGCTGGGTCCGCCAGGTGTGTGGGTGCAATGGCAGAGCCCCTGCCCTGGACTCAGGCAGGACCTGGTGTGTCTGTGCCCATCTGCAAGCCAGGGCATCCCCGGAGCTCTGAGTCTCCCCAGAGCCAGTTCCACAGGTTTCCCCAACCCCTTTACAGACATCGCAGAAGAAGGTATCGGTCGTGAGTATGGCTGAAATTACATTCGACACATCCGTGTACTCCCAGCTTCCGGGACAGGAGGCATTTATGAGCGCTCAGGTAGAGACTGTGGTGGGGGCAGCGGCCAGGCTGGAAAGAGGGCCCCTGGGGCTCCATCTGCGGTGCTGGGGGGTGTTTTTGCAAACCTGGGGGGAAGAGGGTGAAGGTCTCTGGGCAGGACAGCTGTCCCTAAGGGCATGGGTGCTGCTGCATCTCACCCTTTGGAGCAGGGCCAAGGAGCAGGGCCAAGGAGTTAAAGGTTGGGGAACCCGTGGGGAGTCTGGGATGGCAGGAGGACAGGCGCTTTCTGATGGGGTCACCTCCACTTCAGACAGTGACGGTGCTGGAGAAGTACGAGATCCACAACCCCACACCCCTCATCGTGGGCAGCTCTGTGGGGGGTCTGCTGCTGCTGGGGCTCATCACAGCCGCACTGTACAAAGTGAGTGTTTTCTGCCACGCTGGACCCCACCAGCATCTGGTCCCAACCTTTTTGCAGAGTGAGAAGGAGCTCACTTTGAAGCAGAGGCACGTTCTTGCAGGGTCGCTTCATATGAGAAATTGCCTCCCACCTGCAATATCGCCTGCCCCCAGCAGCCCCCTACTTTGTGATTCTCATTCCTCCTCTAAACATTCTGCCTTTCTTTCCCGCTCTTCTCCAGTTTCTCTCGACAGCAGATTATCATATAAAAGCACAGACCCAGTTTGAATGCTGACATCACCACAGATTCTTTTTGTCTTTGACTGTAGGCCAGTGTCTACTCCATTCTGGGCCTTGATTTCTCAAAGTGAAGGTGACTCTACCCAGCTCAGAGAATTTTGGCTAAATCTAGGCCAGGCACGGTGGCTCACGCCTGTAATCCCGGCACTTTGGCTGAGGCAGGTGGATCACTTGAAGTCAGGAGTTCAAGACTAGCCTGGCCAACATGGTGAAACCCCATCTCTACTAAAAATACAAAAATTGGCTGGGTGTGGTGGCACGTGTCTATAATCCCAGCTACTCAGGAGGCTGAGACAGGAGAATCGCTTGAACCTTGGAGGCGGACGTTGTAGTGAGCTGAGATAGTGCCACTGTACACCAGCCTGGGTGACAGAGTGAGACTCTGTCTCAAAAAAAAAAAAAAAAAAAAAGAATTTTTTTGGCTAAATCTAGATGACACAATGCATGTAAATTTCCTAGCGCAGTGCTTTGAGCCTAGCAGGGATTCCAGAATAGTGATCCCTCAGTCTCCCTCAGTCCTGTCTTCTTCTCCTCCACTGAATGGACTTCCTGAGTTTCTTCTCTATCCTCCCCCACAGGTTGGCTTTTTCAAGCGTCAGTACAAGGAAATGATGGAGGAGGCAAATGGACAAATTGCCCCAGAAAACAGAACATCAGACCCTCAGTCTGCCCAGTGAGAGATGATCCCCTCTTGGCCTTGGACTTCCTCTCCCCTTCGAGGTTTCTACATTTACTTACCCTTACCTGTCAGGCCTGACAGGGAGGAACCATCGCACCAAGAGAGGCTGGGATCAGCCTGCTTCCTGTCTTTGGGAGGAGCATCTTGCTTGGGAAAGGGCCTGTGTCTTGTCAAGATTCCAACTGGAAACCCTTAGGAGAGGGTCCCTGTCGTGTCCCCCAAAGGGTTTGACTTGCAATTTCTACCTAGAAATACATGGACAATACCCTCAGGCTTCCGTCTCTCTTCCCCCATGAGGCATGGTATCTTTCTTTCTTTTTTGGAGATGGATTCTTGCTCTGTCACCCAGGCTGGAGTGCAGCAGTGTGATCTTGGCTCCTGTGACCTCTGCCTCCTGGGTTCAAGTGATTCTCCTGTCTCTGCCTCCTGAGTAGCTGGGATTACAGGCATGCACCACCATGCCGGGCTAACTTTTGTATTTTTAGTAGAGACGGGGTTTCACCATATTGGTCAGGCTGGTCTTGAACTCCTGATCTCAGGTGATCCACCTGCTTTGATATCCCAAAGTGCTGGGATTACAGGCTTGAACCACCTCACCCGGCCGGATCTTTCTAAAATACAGTTCTAAACACGCTACTCATCCCACCCATCTTCAGTGGCTCCCCATTACCCTCAGGACAATGTCTGAACTCTCCAGCATCACATGAGAAGTCCCCTTCTATCCCAGAGTGGGGACTTCAGGGCACACGGCGTGAGAAGCTCTGTGGCCCCTATCACCATCGTTTTCAGTGAATTAATGTCACGTCAGCATCAGCTCATGGCTTCGTCGCGGGGCCCTCACTCACGATTTCCCAGGCTGAATTGGGAGTGAGATGCCAGTGTGCTGGGTTCTGCAGAGATGGCCTCCAGCGTTGGGCAGCATTGCTGGCTGGAAGGGAGGAGCACCCCCTAGGGAGGGACATGGCCAGGGTGTGACTGCAGCTCACCCAGCCCCAGGGGCAGAACAGACCAAACCACTTCTATTTTTTGAGGCTACAAATATAGTAAATGAAGAAATGCCAGGATATGATCATTTTTAAAGAGTGTACTTTAAATGTTAGTGTCAATAAATTAAAACATGCACAAAAAGATGCATCTACTGCTCTTGGGAAATATGTCAGAGGTCTAAAAAAAAGGCCTTTTGTGGATGTGGGTCCTGAAGGATGACAGCCATGCGATCCCTTTACCAAGGTGGGCCCTGGTTAGCCCTGAGGCCTGGGGCCAGGACAGGAAATTAACCAGAGTAGGGTTGTGAATATCCTTCTTAGGAGTAACCTGACCCCTTAATCGGCTCACTCCATTCTCAGGGCTGGTGCCGATGGAAAGCTGGTGGAGCTGTGAGGTGGAGGGGGCAAAGGATAGAGAAGGGACAACCCCAGTGGTTACTCCTCCCCCTGGAAAGGTCGCTGGAGTGATCAGTACTCACAAGTGTTTCCTACAAGTCCTAGGATGTGTTGAAAGGCACTCTGTCTGCATATAGTGAGTGATTGAAGGGGGCTTTGGGGTGCCGCATTGAGAGCTGCTGCCCGCAATAAGATCATTCTTGTTATTATGCCACCATCCTGGCATAAAGTTCATCATGGTGCCTGGCACTGAGCTGGGGCCACACAGGGCAAGCCATTCCCGACCTCGAGTGATGCCACTGCAACTGTCACCAGCAAGGAACTCACACCGTGTGGATGTTTCAATTAGGAAATCAGAAGCGAGGCAGTTGAGTGATTTGAAGGGAAGATGGAAAGTGGCCCTTACCTCCAGCCAAAGATATCTCTCCCATACATCAGCAGAGGGTCCCAAATCCCTGTGGATCGTGAAGCTTTTGAGTCCCCAAGATAACTACTTATTATTCAGTTTCCCCAGGTAGGGAGGCAGATGATGAGACTTTGTAAGAATTCAGCCTTTGTGGCTGGGCACAGTGGCTCATGCCTGTAATCCCAGCACTTTAGGAGGCTGAGGCGGGAGGATTGCTTGTGCTCAGGAATTTGAGACCAGCCTGGGCAACATATTGAAACCTTGCCTCTAAAAAAAATTTAAAAATTAACCGGGCATGGTGGCATATGACTGTAGTCCCAGCTACTTGGGAGGCTGAGGTGGGAGGATCACTTGAGCCTGGGAAGTTGAGAATACGGTGAGCTGTGATTGGACCACCGCATTCCAGCCTGGGCAACAAAGCAAGATCTTATCTCAAAAAAAAAAAAAATTGACCCTAGAGTGATGTTTCTTAAAATATGTTCTGTGAACCGCTGGTGGTCAATGGTTTTCTAAGTGGTAGGCTTTAGAGAAAAAGAGCAAGAAATCCATATATCTCAAACATTTGAAACTGATTTGCACAGAAACAGTGTTGCATCCTTAATAATTGTGTGGCATGTGGACTCCAGGGATGGCAATGAACTCTTGTCTAAATTCAGGCAACAAGTTGTTATTTTCTATTTTATTTCATTATTATTTTTTGAGGCAGTCTCATTCTGTTGCCCAGGTCGGAGTGCAGTGGCATGATCTTGGCCCACTGCAATCTCCACCTCCTGGGTTCAAGTGATCCTGCTGCTTCATCCTCCTAAGTAGCTGGGACTACAGACATGGACCACCATGTCCATTGTCATTATTATTATTTTTGAGATGGAATGTCAGTCTGTCACCCAGGTGGGAGTGCAGTGGTGTGATCTTGGCTCACTGCAACCTCCGCCTCCTAGGTTCAAGTTCAAGCGATTCTCTTGCCTCTGCCTCTGGAGTAGCTGGGATTATAGGCATGCACCAACATGGCCAGCTAATTTTTGTATTTTTAGTACAGACGTGGTTTCACCATGTTGGCCAGCCTGGTCTTGAACTCCTGACCTCGTGATCCACCCGCCTTGGCCTCCCAAAGTGCTAGGATTACAGGTGTGAACCACCGTGCCCGGCTGACAAGGTGTTATTTTTCTGATATTCTTCCTTTGTGTGTTACTGTTTATGTTCATTGCATTTACAGTTTCAGGGTTGGGCATTGTGTTGTGTTAGATCCCTGAATCACCAAATGGATCAATGGCTCAAACATATGGAAGTTGTGATTAAAAAATAATATCATTGCTACAATTTAGAATAGTGTCATAAAAGTCAATACTAACTTTTAAACATTGAGCCCAGTGCACATATAGTATAGACATGCATGCTGGGATAAATGATTGTGAGTCAAAATCTGAAAATATCTAGAAGGTATTATAGTCTCTGTCAGGTGGATTGTATTGGTTCTGACATGCATTTGTTCCTAGTGTGCTGCCCATTCTGAAACTTTATGAAACAGTTGCATGAACCTTTCAGAGTTTTTGTGTCATTTTCAAAGCACAATGACTTCTTGGGTAAAGCAATAGGGATTTCTCAGAACAACTGCCACATGTAGCTTTCCTATTCAAAATTGATTAATATTGTCACTGAATACAGAGGAGACAGCAAAACTACAGTGCCATAAATCAAGGTGCTTTTTATAACAAAAGTAGATACGAGTCACATAATTTCCAAGGAGCTTGTAAAAACAGCAGTAGAGTTTGTACCTGTATTGAAAAGTTGCTTTTGGCTGCAAATAACAGAAAAAAACAAAAGCATGTAAGAGCAGATAGAAGGCCTTTCCACTACAAGAGGTTCAGGTGCAGCTTAGTGTTTAATTCAGAGTCTCAGCACTGACAGATTCTTTCTGACCTTCCAATCAGACATAAATCAGACGTTCTTGGTGGGTTTAGTTCTTACCCATTGACCAGGATTGAGTCAAATTCTATCTCCTTGGTTGCCTGCAGTGCTGAGAAAGTGAGCACGTGCTTTTCACAAGCTTAATAAAAAGAGGTAGCTCCAGGCAGGCGCAGTGGCTCACGTCTGTAATCTCAGCACTTTGGGAGGCTGAGGTGGGCAGATCACTTGAGGTCAAGAGTTCGAGACCAGCCTGGCCAACATGGCAAAACCCCGTCTCTACTAAAAATACAAAAATTAGCCGGGCATGGTGACACATGCCTGTAATCCCAGCTACTCGGTAGGCTGGGGCAGGAGAATAGCTTGAACCTGGGAGATGGAGTTTGCAGTGAACTGAGGTCACGCCATTGCACTCCAGCCTGGGTGACAGAGTGAAACTCTGTCACCCAAAAAAAAAAAAAAAAAAAGTGTGTGTGGGAGGTAGCTCCACCAGCCAGGAAGGTGGCAGCCTGGTGGCTGTTGAATAGGCTACCTACAGTGTCTGGCAAATATTATGCTTGAAGACTATGCTGAGAGAAAGTTTCTTTTGTGAAAGAAGAGCTTGGACATTGTGTAATGTCAAACGTAAACAGCGGAATAGCAGTGACTAACGCTTGCGTGGGAGAGTAAGCATGTCACCTCACACTTAGAATAAGTCACTGCCGTGTGAAGTCTGAATCAGCTTTAGTCTTTGTGCAATGCAGGTATGTGGGAGCTTTTCAGCTGCTGAAACCTCTAGCAACAGAAAAGGAGTTTTTGTTGTTCATTTGTAATCAATGTTCATCATGTGAGTGGTGGGAGAGAGAGTGAGGTAGGAGATCAGGAGGACTTGCTTTCTAGTCACAACCTAGCTAATCAGAACAGGATCTGGTCAAGACGGGACCGCACTTAAAAAACAGCCCGAACCAGCAGACGGCCAGGAGAGCAAACTCTATTATCCTCACCGCTTATTAGCGTAAAGACCTCCCCACTGGTGCCATGACAGTTTACAAATGCCATGGCAACATGCCGTAGCAATGGTCAGCAAGTTACCTCCCATGGCTCCGGAAGCTCCCCACTCCTTTTTCAGAAAGTTCTGAATAACCCGCCCCTTAATTTGCATGTAATTAAAAGTCAGTATAAGTACAGTCAGTCAGCGGCCCGCTGGCTGCTGCTCTGGGCTCACTGCCTATGGGTCACTCCGCTCTGCAGGAAACAGCCACTCTGCTGCTGCGGCTGCTTCAGTAAACCTGCTTTTTTCCACACAGGCTCATGCTTGAGTTCTTTCCTGATCAAACCGAAGAATCCTCCCTGGCTAAGCCCCAGTTTTGGAGCTTGCCTAGCCTTGCATCCATAGCACGGGCTAACTGCTTATGGTGCACCCAGCCTAAAGAGGCTGATGCTTGCAGGGTTGTATTCACAGAGCACAGGGCAGTTCGAGGAGGCCTCTCACCCTTGACTCATTCTGTCACCCAGGCTGGAGTGCAGTGGTATGATCTCAGCTTGTACCACTGGCTAATTAAAAAAAAATTGCCGGGCACAGTGGCTCATACCTGTAATCCTA